ACCCTTCTTCTCTTGCAAAAATTCCTCATCCGATCCTCGTGATCTCTTTAACCCATGTAAATGGCCTCGGTAATTTATTTTTTCGTTAAAACTCAACCACTTGCAAGGATTGTTTCAATTTCGCCAACTTTTCTTTGAATGTTCAAAACCAAAGAGCAAAATGTCCATAGTACACCTTCCATTTGGGATGTAATACTATTCTTTCTCGAATTTCCACATACGTGTCCCTTTGCCAAAAATCGAAACAGAATAGGTACCTTTTTTCACGCCAAGGTGTTAATCTGACTAATCATCCCTAAAATAACACATCCACATTTCATGCACTCCGATTGTACTAAAAAAAAAAAATTTAACAGGGACACGAATTTGGGCACCCCAATGTGGTATTTCGCCGCGAATCGACAGAAGCAACCATAGGAGATAACTGAGCTCGTAAAGAAAGAAAGTCCCTTCGGAGAGTGAGCATCCCTGAGTATATATACAAAAAGAAAAAAAAAAAAAACTACAACAGCAACAGCAGCAAAAGTAGCAGTGGCGGCGACGGACAGCCGGCGGGCAATTCGGTTGCATGCAGGAGCAGCCACAGCGAGCGAGATAATAACATTCCCGACGGCACAGCTCTTTCTCGCGGATCGGGGCGGAATGGCGGAGAGTATAGTGGGGGGGGGGAAGGGCGCAATCGGCTGATTCACTATATGGATGCCTTCGACGTAAATGTAAGTGTGTATATATATATATATATGTGTGTGTGTGTGGCTCTACTCCCGGCGCATGTGTGTATATGTGTATATGTGCACTTATAAATCATCGGTAGGGGATAATCGACGCCGCTTAATCTTGATCCTATCTTCGTAAGAGCTGCACGCGGGCCCGCTTTTATTGTACACGAAGGTACCTCATGTGTGTAGGTATACGTGCGCAAGCATGTAATATACGTACGGTCCATTAAATATGCACGTACAGGCGCGAGAGAGCGAAAACGCGAAACTGCGCCCTATACCCATTATACCTGTATATACCGATGAAATCTGCCGGTTACCGGTCGACGTGGTACGCGAGTGTATAAGTATTGAATAATAAATACACGGGTTGCAAGAGAATGAAAAAAAAAAAAAAAAAAAGAGGGAAAAGAAAAAGAGAGGATTCAGAAAAAAAAAAAAAAAATTATAGGACTACGTGACATATACCACACGCAAATTAGAGCCTAGGTCAGCAAAGGGCAAAATAATGATTATTGCAAGGTGTAGGGTTTTGTAAATGAATGCGATTTCATTGATACGACAAACTTCTTTCAACGGAATGAAACACACTTTCGAATAAAACGAGCTTATGTTTTAAAAATATAAATGTACGATTAATTGTCAAGCTTTTAATTGGGTTACTAACATACCGAGCACTTGCCGAACGCGAGGATCTTATAATTAGTTATTTTTGCTCAAAAATTGCAGTGAAAAATATTAAAATCAGACTCACACGTAGGTATTAGCGGTTTAAAATAATTAATGTTTATTATTATTAACAGCAAAAATCTGAACATAGTAGCAATAAGCGATATACCAATCAATCGATGGAGAGGCTTTCAAGGAAAACTTCCAGGATCATTGAAATCGGTAAAATGATATCTCTTGATCTAATAATATAACAGTCTAAGGCTGACACATATTTAAACTGCAATCTTTGAGAAAAAGTAGGAGACTTGAAAATTCAAGATAATGCGTCAAAAAATAGAAATGCACAATATTGAAAATCGCTTAATTTGGATTTTTTAGAATTTCACCAATTTTTTCCACTCTTAAACTATGACTTTGACAACAAATTTATATTGATGTGGTCACTTTTAGGGAGGTGTCATCCATCTACGCAGAATCCATTTTGATTTTACTTCAATATTAAATTGAATCCACGATAAATCGGTTCTGTAGGTCAGTTGATGGTTTTGCAAGTTGGTAATGCCATTTTATAAGTGGCTTGAGAACTATGGAGTTTGATTTTTGTGTAATGATAAGAATAAACATATTTCCGAACTTTCGGCGTTTTTCTTGGTACTTATGCCAATAAAGGAAATTTTTAAAAAAGCCGGCCAACCGGGACTATACCCTGTGGCCTACGGTCTGCAAAATAACCCAGGCGCGTGGCGGTGGCGCTCCTGTGACGAAATCTAGTATAACTTTTTTTTCTCAGGTATTAGGATGATTTTCAAACAAATTGCCCCTTTGTGACCTCTGTCCCTTGATTGTAATTTAAATTTATAGATAACATCGGTAAACTCAAGCATATAGTCAATTCTGTGTGTGTGACATAGCTTATCACATCACATTCGTACCATTCGCTATTCGCTCCGTTCGTTTCATTTTTGTTCCGTTCGTTGGTCGTATACTCATCTGAGATCTGTGTTGTCAAGGCAAAGATCTTGTACGTAAGCATAATTTAAAAATACTCAAGTCGTTCATCTGATGATGGCAAAAGACCTTTCAAGGCGAATGGAATAAAAATGAAACATGTACAGCGAACGAATAGTTATACTTACGAACGTGTTTGATGCAGTGGTGCTGTCAGCGGTTGCATATTGCATTATCACTGATCACTATATAGAGATAATGAGGCTCTTTTACCGTCAAGCTTGAATCAGATGGCGCCAGGGCACGTCGCGGCTGTCATGGCCGTCTCACTCACACAACATTACTTTTCAGTATTGTATGTACATAGGAAAGTAAAGTGTTGTGGTAAAGCGCAATATTTGAAATTTTGAAATGAATAAGGAAGACAAGAAAGAATATTATGGGAGCTTAAAAGTTTCAGAATTGAAAAAGCTTTTAAAAGGGAAAGAAGCAAGAGTCAGTGGAACACAAGCAGAACTCGTGGAGGCAAAGTGGTCGAGGCATAAGCCATGACTTGGGAGCGGCAAAAATGTTGGTCTCCCAATTGCTTCGAGCCACTTTTTTTTTATCACACTATCAGAAGGAAATTTAAATTTCACTTTCTTATCGCAGGATATTACACTGCACTTCATTTTTCCTACTATCTTTAAACGTAAATGCAAACAAAAGCAATCATTTACAAAGGTTATGTCTTCTGCTTTGCTCATTACACAGATAGGCTCACGAACACAATACACAACTGTAAATTTGACGGTGTGTAAGTGCGACGGCCATAACAGCCGCGACGTGCTCTGGCGCCATCTGATTCAAGCTTGACGGTAAAAGAGCCTCATAGGTTCGTTCAAGTCCCCCCTTGGTTCGGTTCGGTTCGGTTCGGTCGGTTCTGGGACCATAGGTCCGAGGTCCGAGGCGGTCGGTTCTATAGAACCAAACTCTCGTGAACGCGTCCCGAATAGAAATGTGCCGTAGCTTGCCTGACTGCCTGTGCAGGTCCTGCACAGGCAAGATAGGCATTTTATGCATATGTGAGTTCAGGCTGTGCACAGTTCCTGAACAGGTCCGGTGCTCTTGCCTGAACTGACATCAACTGTCTGCTACTACAGTATAGTCTTAACCTTTTTTTCAATTAATCTAAAATGGAGCAAAACCATTATTCTCGACGAAAGACGCGAAATAAATATAGAATGTAAATTATTCGTAAAAGAAAAATTTCGGAAAAAAGAAAACCATACAGATTTAATGGAAATAATGAAAAAAAAGCTAAACTTACAGATAATATTAGTGAAAACTCAGCTGTACAATTTGATAAGCAAGAAATTTAGAGCGATATTCAGCAAGAAATTTTTGAAGAATTAAACACAACTAATGACAGTGCGTAAGAAAAAAAAAAACAAAAACAAACAAGTGTCAATATTGATGAAGTTCGTGATTTGTATGTACAACTTCGGAAATGGAAAAGAGAGTGTTTTATTGCAAATAGCCACATGGATAAAATTTTAAAAATATTGCAATATCACATTCCCAGCTTACCTGTATCCCATAAAACTTTACTGAAATTAACTTCTCTGTTTAAAAACATTTTTTTATGTAACATAACCTTACTATTTAATTGTGTAAAAGTCAGTTCATGACTAGATTATATTTGTCCAGGTTGCCTGAGCTAAGGCTGCCTGTACAGGACCCTGAGCAGGACCTGTGCACATCGTTGGATAAAATTCCATGAATGCCTGAGCAGGTCCTGCGCAGGCAGCTCAGGCACCTGTCCAGGGCCTGTTGAGTGCCTGAACTCAATTTCTGTTCGGGGTGTTTTTTTATGTTTTTTGGTCCCCAGAACCGACCGAACCGAACCATGCAAGGGAGGCTTGAACGAACCTAGTGTTTTGTGGAATACCAACACATGTTTATGTTTATTGTTGATGTTAAAGCAAAAAAACGATTCTCGAGCGTATTTAAATATAATTTTTATCAATTTTATATTAATACACGAGGTACGTGCATCTGTATCTCTGTAGTTGCAAGTTTTTAAAGCTTATCATCTCAATTTTTTACATTTTATCAAACAAACTCATCGGTGGTGCTGAACTCTTGCACGGCTAGTTCGTGGAGTGGAAAGAGAGAGAGAGCGCGTGACGCCATATAATTTTCAGTTTAGCACGTTTTTGGTGGTGTGTATACTTAAATTGTAAACTCGCACAATAATTCAATATCTTTGTAACTTGCTTTCTACAGATACAGATAAATAGATCAGCTAACAATTTAAGGTTATATCCGTTCCTAGCAACAAAGTTTAGCAGCCCGCTGATGTATCAGTTGCTGTAATAAATTTATGGAATTACCTACTTCCTTTTTAGTTAGATGTATACAAAAAAATTCCTAAAATAAATTAAAAAATAAAGTCTTATCCTTTTTTTTCTGTATAACTGATTTTTGTTTTCTTGGAACATTACTTCATCTACAAATGTCAATGTCTTATGAATAGTGTTCAGTTTTTTCACACAATATATTTGAATCTGTATTAAATCTTGCTTGAATCTGACAATCCAGATGAAAAATGAGTTGTGAAGATATTGGCAACAGCACTTGAAATGATGAATTATCAGATTGTATGTTTTATTTTTTTAGTCTAAAACAAATGAATGGTGTAATGGAGATGGATTCCGACGTGCACATGCAAATCCCAGAAGTACTTGTGTCATGGAAAGTCAATAATTTCAGCTTATTCAAACAACATGTAGTGGGATTCAGAGTGACAAAGGTATGTCTTCATTGTAAACTACATTATATGTAAACTAATTCTAATGGCTATCATCTTCCAATACTAACATCTCCAACCCAAAAGTGTCGCAATTTTCTGTGTTTTACTTACTTTTTTTTTCTTCGAAGCAAACAAAATAAAGAAAAAAGATTCAAAATGACTAAGAATCTAAAACATTTTATTCCATATTGTTTACAAGACTCATTATTAAATCTAAATATCAACAACCTTTGCAATAGATACATTTTGCAAGCATAAGAATAAGCATATTAATCTTTCATTTTTTGACAAATCACTTAACCAAATAACTACATTTTTGTTTTAATGATTGATCTACTCCTCGTGCAAATATCTGTTGGATGAATTGTAAATCTCATGCAGGGACTATAAGTTGCATAAAAAATTATTAGAAGGTAACTTCTATAATTGAATATGTTATGTTGGTTACATTGCTCTTATCAAGATTAAAATTATTTCCAGCTGTGTCATTTTTTATAAAAAGTTTATAGATAAGAGATCTTGTAACTATAAAAAATTTATTTGACTTCAACATCATATGAAATGTATGATGTAATGGTTTCAGAGTTTTCAATTTCTGTTGTGAAATTTAATATTACCAATTATGGTTTTTTTTATTACAGACATTTTCAGTGCAAGGTAAGGATAATTGCACGTGGGATATTCACCTTTATCCTTTTGGAAGAACTGAGATTGACAAAAACTACATATCCATATATTTTGAATATACTGTAAGCAAAACGAGTGACATTCCCTCACTTTTAAAATTCAGTTTTAACGACAAAAATGGGAAATGTTTGGTAGCGAGTAAAGAATCCTCTATTTACTCTACGGAATTAAAATACACATTGGGTTGCATATTGTGTGAGCGCAAAAAAATTTTGGATCTTCTCAAAGACGATCTACTTGATGTAACCTGTTGGATTCAATGGAAAACATGTATCAGCAATGGTAATAGCATTGGTGCATTGGATGAGTTTGACAGAATGATTAAATTATCGTCTGACTATAAAAAGCTTCTAAATGACAGTAGCAGAGGCAGATTTAGCGATGTCTTATTAGTGGCTAATGATGGTATCGAATTTCCTGTTTACAAGGGAATACTTGCGTCACGAAGCCCTGTTTTTTCAGCAATGTTCACCCACGACATGAAGGAAAACAAAGAGTCTAGAATCGACATAGAAGACTTTGATGGTAAAACACTCAAGGCCATGCTGGACTTTATCTACACAGGTAATTTTGATGAAGATGGTTGCGAAATTTCAAATCTATTTGTTGTAGCTGATAAGTATGCAATAGATAACTTGAAAAATTGGTGTGAACACAAACTTATAAAAAGTTTAAAAGTTGATAATGCTATAACTTATTTGGTACTATCTGACAAATGTAATTCCATGAACTTAAAGGACGAATTACTCAAATTCATTGTTGTTCATATAAATGATGTACTTAAAACTAACTCTTTCAAGAATCTAAAATTTGTACAACCTCATCTTTTGGAGGAAATACTTGAAAAAGTTGTAAAAAGTATTTAGAAATGTATTTTATCCATGATTTACTTTGCAGTGCATGTACAATGCATATTTCATTTAAAGTGTATTTACTTTAAATTGACAGAAAAACTTTGTGTATGATTTATGAAAAAAAAAGTTGATAATTGTTAATTAATTTATTTTATAATTATATATTAATTGTACCTCACTATGCATGATTGTAATACATAAATTATGTATTTAAATTAAATAAATACACAATTTTTTTGATGATTGAAAAGTGGACTAGTTTTACACTTACTTACCTACACAATTTAAAACTAAATCACAATGAACTAAGTAAGCTCACTACATATTCTATTTATAGTTTATCATGTAAAAAAATTTCTTAAGCCTACGTATAAGCTGAAATGGACTGTCTAATAAAAACGTGCCCCTGGATACGATACTCTGCCCAACCTACGTATGACTCGATCAACTATTATTTGAAGTAAAAACCAAAAAAACTCCTTTCAATTTGAAAAATTATTTCATAGCTCTATGAGTATTAGTGTTGCCTATAAAATACAACATTTTTAAATGTTATCAAAAAAGCAAGCTTTACTTAGTGTTTAAAAAGTGACAAATTTGAAAATAAAATAAAAAATTACCTGCCAGTCCCAGCCAATGACAAGCTACCATGTAATAATTTTTATAGAGAATAGTTAACGACAGTAAAACGCCTTTGATTGTACTTTTATCAGTTAATACATTCATTTAAAATGAATTTTAGTTAATAATAAAATGTTTATGTAAAATCGAACATTTAAAATAATAAGCAATACGAAACTTTTGGGGGTCACTTATTCTCAGCAAATAAATTTTTACCTACTTTAATAACTATTTTCAATGAAAAATTACTATTTTTTTTAAATAGCTTTTATTTTAAACAATGTTGAAATGTAACATTCTTTATCAATACTTGGGCTTTTATCACCATAGCATACACCTCAAAATAGTATCAGTTATTAACATTACTATGAGCCAATTAAAAAAGTGAACGTCAATACAATTTAAATTCTATGGCTTTATTTATATTACAGAATAAAGAAGTTGGGTAACAAAAATGAGCATTAGTAAATGTCAAGGCATAAAAAAAATTAATAAAAATTATGTATCTTTATTTAATTATAAAAGAGATAACATACTCTAAATCCCTTACAGTACTTTTTTTTTTTCTTCTAGTTAAAAACTATTAGATGCTCACCAATCATACTAATGAAACAAATGTTGAAAAAAAATTTAGCAAAATTTACAAAAATAATGAGGCATTTAAAACTTATCAGTACTTCTTTTTTTTTACCAAACATCTAAGTATGTCTTCCATAAGAAGTGGTTGTAAGACTTTCAAATCCGCAAAAGAGTCAGTTTCAAGAACATCATTTACATGTTTTGAAATATAATCAAGTAATCGTATCTTCAAAACTTTAGAGTTGTAATGATTTGACAGTAATAAGTAGGTTGCTGCACTATCAATGTTCAAATTATGAATAAGTTTATCTTCTCACCACTCTTTCAAAGCTTGAAGATCATATTTGTCGGCAGCCTCAAACAATTCATTAATCTGACAATCATTTTCATTAAAACTACCTGAATAAATATACTGCAGCATGGTCTTTAAAACTTTCTCATCCAAATCTTTGATTTCAACTTTAGACTCTTTATTCTCCTTCATGTCGTGAGAAAACATCTCTGCAAAAACAGAGCTGCGTGATGCAAGTATGCTCTTGTGAGCAGGAATCTTTGTACCATCGTTTGCCTCTAGGATGACATCACTGAAACTCCCTTCATCCATGAGTTTCTTGTAACCACATGACAAATTACTTAGCCTGTCAATTTCATCTAATGCACCTAACTTATTACCAATGCTGATATCTGTTTTCCACTTGATCCAACAATGAACATCTAACATGTCATTTTCAAGAAGGTTCAAAATTTCATCACGCTTACACAATTTTAGAAATCCCCATGATTGGTAATAATCAGAATAATGACACATGGAACTTTTTTCAGTTTCTTTTAAACATGTTCCACTTTCATTGTGCAGACTAAACTTAAAGAGAATATTCATATTATTTTCTGCATTCACTTTGTAGTTAAGATAAATATCTACATAATCTTCATCATTTAATTTACCAAAAGGCTAAACACTAATGTACCATTTACAGATTTTCTTTTCCTGGCAATGAAAAGCTCTGAAATAAAAAAAATTACTCTGAGTAAATAATTAAACTAAACTAGATAAACAAAACTTTTTAGGTTGAATATTTTATAAGCTATATTTTATTTTTAAAAAAACCCACAAGTCTTACAAAATATTATGTGAATATTTATTTTTTAAGGCAGAGTAAATAAATATCAAGGTATACACAAGCAGACATGACATGGTATGTAATGGTACATCAGTATTGTAAAAACAACACATCTAATGCACCCCGAAATTATCGTTAAGAAAATCTAAGTAGATTTCTTTGATAACCATGAATTTTTTTTTTTTTTTTTTAATTTACCATAAGATATTGCAATTAAAAATATATTAAAATAACTTTACATTCACTTAGGTTTTACCTACCTCAGAGTTTAAGATTTTTTTGTAGGTACTAAAATTTTTTATTTTCCATGAAACATATACTTCTGGAACATGAATTAGCAAGTCAGAAATGTCAGAATCGCTCTCCATGGTGGTTTATTAATTTTAGCTCTTCTTCTTTTCACCAGTCCTCTCTAAAAATGTGAAATAATCTAAGTCAAAACTTTGAATTAACATTTTTCAAGGTCTATAACCAATTTCAAGAATAATATTAAAACATAATGAATTTATGGATTTTTGGGTCATGTTATGGGAGCTTCAAAAAATTACCGTTTGTCACCCGGGCTGTCCGTTCCAAAATTTAAAGGAAATTTACACTTATTATGGATCGGGTACTCTGTTATTTACATAACCTATAAAATTGTCTTTACATTTTTATAACGATAATAAGAATATCAGACAAAACTATTGACTAATGTAGATTTTCGGGATGAAACTATAAGAGTTACATAAAAAACCTCAACGCACAATGAAATTTCATATTTTTTTACTCTATCGTATGACATGTAAACAATAAATTCATAGCTTTAACTAAACAAATAACATACCTTGTGAACTGACGTCAACAACAAAGAATATCACATTTGTTCTACAGTGTGAATATATTTTTTGGAAATCGCTTCAATGATGGTATAGTACTTATTTTATGACGTGGAACTCAGAAATACTGCACCTTTGTGCCAGGTGCATAACAATGCAGCGCTCTGTGCCGGTGACAAAAGCATGGGTAAGTACGTTTTTTGTGGTGACCGGTCAGTCGGTCCAATTCCTCTAGTGTACTTATACTTTCTTAAGGAATTGGACCGACCGACCGGTCACCACAAAAAACGTATTGTGGACGCCAAGTACACAAATAAATGAACCATTAGATAACGCTCATGTACTTAACAATGACATACCAACAATATACTCAACAATAATTTTTTTTCTGCTATTTTTAAATGTGGAAAACCAATTTCGGATTTTCTACTTTTTTAAAAACTATTTTGATCATAACTTCCAGTCATCAAGTGCTTCAAAAAATCTTAAATTCCTTGTTTGAAACGTTTTGTAAAGTGTGTTCAGTGCCAAAAGTTAAGTATAAGTATTCGAATTTGGGGAAAAGAATGCAAATATTGCAGATTTTGTTACATTGAAATGTAAATGTTAAGTTTACTTTGATTACAACTTTTAACCTTGATCGTATTTTTCAAAAAGGAAATAAAAGCTTGTGCCATAAGATTTTTCCCTTTTACAACATTTTGTATGACATTCGGAGACTGATTGTAACGATTACCATATACTTAACCTTAATTTTTTACAAAATTGAATGATAAATAATCAGGGTGAAAAAAGTTATATATATTTACACTTTTCAAGACGTGTCAAACCAGAAGTTGAAAAAATTTTGAAATATTTTCTTTTCCTTTTTAAGAAACTATGTGTACGACGATTTGAAAAAAAATTCTACTGAAAATAGTTGAAAAATTGGAAAACTCTTGTTTAAAGTTCTATGTTTGGATTTAAAAAAAAAGCAAGAACAACAATTCCACCACACTTACCCAATAAGTAGTTTGTTTCAAACATTTTCCTTTTTCTTTATAGTATGTAGAATAAAAAAAAAAAACCTTTTTTTAATCCCCAAAAGTATGCCTTGCTTCAATGGATTTTGTTCTATGGACTTCCCCTCTTGAATGAACTCGAAAAAAAAAAAAAAAAAACATCGCAACAATAAACCCAACTGTCCCCATAAAAAGCTCCCCAAAGCAACATTCAGCTCCGCGTTCCCGGAACACTCGCGAGAAAGAGGAGAGCGCGCTAGGAAAAATATTTATCGCAGGATTCGAGTAGGTGAAAAAAAAAAGCTCTTTTAACTCTTGGCCAAGCCTTTTTTCCTTTGTATATTTGACGAAGTTATACGTGCCGAAGACATCTGATTGTTACGGGAAGCCCATACTCTCTCTCTCTCTCTCTTTCGCATCAAAGAACGCACACATAAGTACCAGGGTTTCGCGCCCATGTGATCGTTAAGTGAAAAATTTAGTCCATTCTTCCGGGAACCGAAAACGTCTTGCGCGTGCAAACGATAAAAAGAAACGAGACCGGCAAGATCGTTCCGAGCTCGCGTATATATGTACCCCGCACATGCACCAGCCGAAAACAGACGTGTTTACCCGAGTGATCGGCAGTATCTTCAACAATCGGCGCGCACAGAAGCGTCTTTATACAGTATACGTATCAAATGGTCCGTATATTAGCAGTGCGTATATACTTACCTATAGCTCCCGTTCCGTTAGGTCAACCCACTTTGATCCGAACGGCCATCGGGGAACGCGCTCACGCGTATCATATATATATATACACACCCACCCTCCTCTTGTTTCTCTCTCTCTCTCTCTCTCTCTCTTCGTGTCTTTCTTCCTCTCTTCGGACTAACGATCGGTGCAGATAACGACGTGTGATATAACGATCTCCGTTCGGCTGTCGGGAGATCAAACAGGACGAGAGTGTACAGCAGCATCGGTAGCGGTAGCTATGTATACAATAAGTGTACCGTTAGTAAAACGTGTATCTATGTATATATAATGCGCCATGCCTGTGCGCGTATATACTTATGCCGATGCTCCTCTGTTTTCTTTGGGCTGTCCGGCGCACATGTAACGCGCGCCTATGCACACATCCTTTATTGTTTATTCCGTTTTTCGTTATAGGTATACCCACAGTACATGCTGAGCTGCAGGCGAATCAAAACGGATGATCGTTTCCGAGTACAGCTGCAAGCTCCCGGAGCAAAGCAAACTTTATTAATCGTAGGTGTATACACACGCGTTTTTGATACCTTTACGCGGAAACTTTTGCTTTCCCCGGCCCGTTTCATACCGATCACGGTGCTTGGTAAAATAATTTGGCCTCTCGTGCGAGCTATTTACGGGTGGGATGTATTTCGCGTGGTGTCGGTGGGTGGTTTGGATTATTTGGCGGTTTTATCATTTTCTTTTATCTTGTTCCTGGTGGCCCCGCGTAAATCACCCCCCCCCCCCCAGGGTCAATATTCTGACGCAGTTGCACGGGTGAATCGGTTCGGAAAAGTGCCTCTGATAATAAGTTGCCTGAACCCAAGCATTTTCATTTCACCGTGAAAAAGATAGTTTGCATTCGCAACCCCTTGAAAAAAACTTTTTTTTTTTTTCATACTGTCGTGAAAGTATTCAACATGTGGCCCACCAAATGGCAAGTGTGAGCTCAAAATGTATGATCAGCATCGTACGCGAATATTAATTAAAAAAAAAAAAAAAAAAAAAAAAAAACCCCGTCAGATGCTCATCTCTCGTTAAAATCCACTTGTATATCCGAAACATTTAAATTAACCCGCGCGTACCGGTACCCTTCCCTCGTCATTTTTGACAACTCATAATTGACAGACCGTATCAATAATTCAAGCACACGCATTTAACGAGCCGTGCAATCAAAGAAAAAAAAAAAAAAAAAATACAAACACACACGTCCGAGCGTATATACGCGCTCGAGCGCGCGCCGACAACCTGCTTTTCCCATAAAATTGAAAATGTGTACACAACAAGCGGGCACTCTTATCGACCCGCCATATCGCGCATATACGTCCGTCCGTATATAGGCTCCGAGAGTGTTTTGTCAGGGCGCACGGCGGAAAATTATGCTAACGACGGAGGAGGAGCACGAAAAATCCGCCGCTGATGCCCAATGACGCCGCCCGCGGTCGAGATACGCGCCGGCTACCCCGCGGGGATCGACGCTGGATGTGCAGCGAAAAATAAAAGGAGGAGGAAAGACAGTGCGGCCGCGGTCTTAATTAGAAACGACGCGCAGTTGTTGCCGGGACGGTGCGCGTAATGGGGTCCCCGAGGCTGCATTATGCACATGTGCAGCGAAAGCCTGGCAATCTCGGCTCCCATCTCTCTCTCTCGATTATTTTTTTACACATATACCTATACAGGTATATATACGCGGTGCAATCGAGTCTCTTACTTTATCGTATATTTTCCAGTTCCGAGACGCGACCGCACACATATATAATACACATCACGAATAGATAATAGCGAGAGGAAGAGAAAGGAGCTCCGGAGACTCGGAAGAATGACACTTTACATCCAAGTCGGGGTTTTACGCCTGAGGGGTGTATAATATACACACACGCGTATCATATTGTAGGGGGGGGGGGATAAAATAATTTTCTAGCCCAGAGTAACGAGTGCGCCTGAAAATTTCCATCCGCGTTATGATAAGCGTACTTTGGGCCGGGGAAGTCCATACACACACGAGATTCCAGAGAGCTTAGAGCGCAAAGGCTTTCAGCTCCGTGGAGCCGGGAAAGGGAGACGAAATGGATGCTGCCGCCGTTACGGTCCAGTATGGTCGCGATATAAAATTTTAACGTCATAAACAACGCCGATATTGCACGCCCGAACGTCTCTATTCGATGGACGCGCGTCGCGTTATATGCAGCTCGTACCTACAAATGAGCTCGAGGAGGATCGGGATAAGAGACACGTTTTATTCGCTAACATTAGCCCCTCCCCCCCCCATCTCTTATTTTACGGGGTAATAAAGTATTTCGCGATTTTCATGCGTATTACGTATGTATGTACGAGGGGTTGTTGTTTTTCTTCCTTCAACCCTTTCAAAGAATAACTGAACTTTGGGCATTATCGTTTGACACCGACTTGGAATTTACACATTTTTCCACGGCTTTCGCGTGCGCGAGCGTGGCTCTCTGGAGCACGTTTCACGGGACTGGGACGATGGCCGGGGTTACATATGTTCCCCCCGTTGCAGAGAAAGGGAGAGATGCAGTGAGACACGTGGTGTAAAACTAGTAAAATATATGGTCACGTGTGTGTACATACATATACTGCACGCTCTTTTGTATATACATATATAAGCGAAGAGTCGTCCCGGCGGTTGGTTTCGTACGGGTCTATGTAAGGACAAGGTGTTCGCAACAGATAGAATCGTCACAAAGTAGCACAATTCCTTTGTACCGAGCTCGTGTACAGCTATAACAGATGTACGATGGCTCGAGTTCAAGTGAACACGACCCAAGGCTGTGGTGTGTGTATACCTTACACGTGTAC